AGGGACTAGTATAAGACCCGGTACTAATCAAGGGGGGTACTATACCAGGGGGGTACTAGAACCAGTGCTATACGGTATTTTGGATTTGAGAGATAAATTCTCAGATTCTTTTTTCGATGAGTCATTTTGAATTGAAATCGCATCTTTCTGGGCTGATTTAACTTGCTTTCTTCATAGACCGAAGTGCTGTAATTTCCTTTGATTCATTCTGAGTTGAAGATAGTTTCGTTTCCAATATTTTATCTTAGACTGAAGATCTTTATCTTAATTTTAGATTCATTAAGAGAAATATCTTTGCGGGTAATCTGAGATATTAGACTAACTAACTCTGAGCTCAATCGCTTAACTTCCTCTATAAGCTGGTAAGCACTGCTTGGAGAGTTTCTCTTTATTTGTTTTAAATTACATTGTATACGCTTATTGTCTTTATCAAGACATAGCATTTATTGGCAAGTTGACTGCCACATTTTATAGCAATTTCTCGATCTCGATTTGCACAAGCAAGCTGGTTTTCAAGTTCTATATCTATTCTAATTCGATTAGGTGGATATCGATTAGATGGTATGTCCCCTAGTTTAATGAAAAAATAAATACCAGTTAACCAATACTAGATAAGTAAATTTGACGAAATCAAGAATACCTTACTGATCATATATATTGAGCTTGATATATTATATAGGAAATAAGTAATATTTGTAACAAATGGAATATATTATTATTATTTATTATACTAATATAAATACTGGTTTTGCCTGGCCCAAGTGTGTGATTGTAGAGGCAACTGTAATTATAATAGTAATATGTTTAGTATCTAATACTTATTACATATTACAGGGGGTAAGCTACTCCAATTTCAAACATAAAGAAAAAGGATTTCATATTAGCAAGTTAATAAAATGTGTAGATAACTAATCAAATCCGAATACACATTTAATTCATCTGTTAGGATGATGTTGTATTCAGATCATTTTGCTCTAGTTTTTGCGCCTTTATATTTAGTAAATATATCTTTTTTTCTTTGCGCCCTAACTATAGATCTATGTTCAAATCGAGCTGCCAAGATAGCGATGGTTTTCTTTTATCGTATCTTGATAAGACTCCTTCCAAGTGAACTACATCTCTCAACCTAATTCTCCATCCACCCTACAATATTGATAATATATAAGTATTCTTAATAATATATAATGATGATGATAGAAATTAATATATTTATGTACCTTACACTGTACTATTATCGTATACCCTCTGAAACCCCCATTTAGATCAATGCCTCCATCTCCTGGTTCTTGTCTATAAAGTTATATAAGAATTGAATACGTGTATCATCATTTCAAGATATATTATTTGGCGTGAGCACTATATAATATATCATGTATTAGTATCCTATTCACCACAGGTTCTGGCGTGAGCACTGTAACTTTCGGTAACGGAGAAGAACGTTCACAACCACCAAGTTGTGGCCACGATGCGCTTTCAATTCCCCGATTTACACCTAGTGGCAGCGTACTTTCAGATACATAAAACTCAACAGATACTCCGTGAAAATACTCACTCATAACGATGAACCTCTACATCTTCTTCTCTCAAAATATTTCTAACAGTAATTTCAAATTCCCTTCCTCGCTCAACATAACTCGCCATCTATATTTTGTTTATCATATTAATATATTGATTTGAAATAAAAGATGGAAACAATAGAACTTTATACAAAGTTTACCTTGAATATTAAATTAATCGATAAATGAGAGCGAGATATGGAACAGAGAAAAGGGAAAAGTTAGATAGATCCATCTTGACGTGGCTTTGTCTATTATCATGCTTCGCTTCAAAACTTTTCGAACTTTTCACGCATATCGTAAATTTGAACAACACCGCGTCCAGAGACATGTTCAATTAGTAAGTTGTACCGTATTATTATGACAACTATCGCGAGGAACTTTTATTCACACCCTAATTTCATCAATCATATGATCAATCTCGCATAACACGCGACATGTTTGGTGGGGATCGACATAATAATAAGAGGTTAAATTCTGTTTCCTAAATCGGTCAATACACCTTTACATATACGATAATCAGGAAACTATTAGACAAATCCATCCTAACGGTTTGCTTGCAGCGACGACAAGCATATTTAGAAAAAAAGATGTTTGCAAGAACGATTACCACAAGATCTATATCAATTGCACAGATAAGAAACAAAATAATTCGTGAGTTTGGATCAAAGAAGATCAAATGACTATGCAGGACAGACTATCATTAACTCATTGTTTAAATGCAATTAGCGGTTTCAGCGAGACATTTCAGTAGTAATAACAACAATAATGAATTTAGAGAAGAGATTTTTCAGAAGTATCTCAACGCAATGGATCATAGCATACGACCTCCAGAGGGGTATAACAAAGATAACGGTAAATCTACTGATTGATTCTATCCAACCCGACGTTGTTGTTTTTTTAAATACTTTCCAAGTTTTCTTCTTTTCAACAACTCTCCTCCCTCTCCGTCATCTTCCATAATCCAGTTCCACCACACATCGACAAAATAGGCACACACAAGCAAACTTTTTATACGCCTGATAAACCTCTACATTCACCCGAATCATCATATGACATTACAATATCCAAACTTCTTTCTGCTGGCTTACATCTTGGTCACTCGACATCGCTTTGGAACCCAGTAACTTTTCCATTCATTTTTGGAACGCGAGCCGGAATTTCGATCATTAATCTCGAATATACCATCGTCTATCTTCGTCGTGCCTGCAAGGTCGTGAGAGAAGTAGCTCTTCGCGGAGGACTTATTCTTTTTGTTGGAACTCGGCCAGGATTCGCACAAGCGACGGTAGAAGCAGCGAGACGATGCGACGGATATCAAGTGACTAAGCGATGGTTACCTGGCACTATAAGTAACTCGCGGCAGATACTCGGAAAGTTAACACCCACACATCCTGATGACGGTGGTGGGCTACCGGAAGTGTTTAAACCAGACTTGGTTATCGTGTTGAATCCACTGGAGAATGCAATTGTTCTCGCTGAGACTAAGCAGGCGAATATACCGACTATTGGAATAACTGATACTGACTTTGATCCGCGTAAAGTTACGTATCCCATCCCGGCTAACGATGATTCTGTACGAGGTATTACGCTTATTGCTGGAGTCTTGAGCGTTGCTGCGAGAGATGGTCTCAACCACAGGAAGAAATTGTTGAAGGAACAAGAGGAAAGAGAAGCTGGTAAACTGGGCGTCGTTAAAATGATGGTTCAGGCAATGGAAGAATCGAAACGAGAGGAGGAAGAAATGATTGATAATTTTGAAGAAACAGAAGAGACAAAAGAATAAGCAAAGCAAAGCTTTCCGAGTGAGAAAAAGTTCAGTCTAATCTTGGAGGGAAGGGGGGCGGACTGTTCAACAAATCCCTAAAACATACTAATCGTTAATAATATTTTTGGGTAAACCAGGCTTGCTTGATAAACTGGATCGTCTTTACCAAAAATCCTGATCGTGCCAGTTTATCGAGAAAATTTGCACCCATTTATAGAACAAATAGAGTCAGTTACCACAGTTATACACTTTCTTTGGGCAATAAACTTGATCTGTACACAAAGTGTCTACAAGAAAAATTTGTTCTTGTTGTTCCCATTTATTTATATTAACTTGAATAAGATATTTTTTTTGTACACTTGAAAATAATTAGGTTATAATAACAATGATTTTTTAGTCCCTTACAATGGATAACAAACATCCATACGATCAATTATTACAACTAATGAGGTTTAAATGTGTGAATTATACTACAATATGCAACATAACAGGTTTCGGTAGATGGTAATGGCTAAATGGGATGGATCGATTTGATCGATTGATTGCGAAAGCCTTTCCCATTGAGGCAACCGGCACGAAAAACATGTGATTTCAACGACGCACCAACAATACACAAAGCCCAAGCACGGCGATCCCGAAGGTGACTTTTAATAGTGTCGAGTTATCAGCATTCCCCGTTGACTTTTCTTGATGAATGGGCGATTTGACTGCATTCGCAGAAGCAACTAGCGTTGCCTCTATCATCTCATCATCGATAAACTCGTCAGTCGACTCGGAGGTCTTGACAGGATTTGATGGATCTTTCCTATGATTCTTGCGATTTCGTACTCTCACCGCCCATTCTTCTTTGAATGCATTCATCTGTTCAGCCACCCGCGTCTCTATCACTGAATGGGATGCCTCGGCCAATCGCAACTTTTCTTGCTCTATCTCATTATCCAATTTTGTTTGATATTGTTGGCGTTCTCGTTCACTGATTTCCTCCTCTATTTTCTCCCTTTCGAGTTGCAGAGCTTCTTTGATTTTGTGTTCTATTATTTCTTTCAAATTTTCGGCCGATGGGGATGTTACCGTAGCATGTGCTGCTTGCTGGTCTTTGAATCTGACGTCATTTTTCTTTAAAGATTCAATTTGCTGCAGCATGCTCTCCCGCTCAATTCGAAATCGTTCGGTCAGTGAGGCCATTAATGATTTGCTATCAGATAATTCATGACGAAGAGCTTCAGAGACTTCTCGCTCGGCCTTGAGTTCTTCACGAAGTTTTTCGCATACTTCCCGAAGCTGTTCCAAGTGATAACGCATATCAATCGATTTGTCCTTGTGAGATGCTTCCGAAACGTATGTCTCCTTATTGACTATTGCCGGTTTGTTCAAAACGGTATCTTTAGCATGGGCGTTCTCCAAATCAGTGTCGACCGAATCCGACCTAGCAAGTTCTTGCGAGCCTTTTTGTTCGACTGATGAATTCACGTTCTCAGCCATTGCAGTTTCTTCTGTTACGCTCTTATCTGCAGAATTTTGCTTCGCGTCATCAGATCTTGCCTGCTCTTCTTTTGCCTCTTTCGTGACAAGAGACTCTTCCGCCCGTACGTTTTCAGCATGCTTCTGTGACTCGATGTTGCCATTGTTTGCTGCTGCTATTTCCTTTTGTCTTGCATATCTTGACAGCTCAAATAAAGTCTCGCGTTTCTTCTCCCACAATTGTTTACTAATCTCTTTAACTTCAGATTTTGCAAACATGATTTTATCGTTTGTATTTAAAGCCGCGGTAAGTTCATTTTGCAACCTTTGACGCACACCACCAATGTCAGGCCTGTTCCTCCTGACTTGAGGGCGTGATACATCGGCAGTTAGCATTCGCTTAGAGGAACTTGATATAATTTTGACTTCTGTCGAGACTTTCTGATGAATCACAGTTCTGTTGTCATCCCCGACGATATCGATGCCAAATTCCTTAAGGAGTAAAAAAATTAGCATATTATTTCACAAAAAAAAAATTTTTTTTCCCACAGAATCGAAATAAGTAACAAATATTAGTAAAGGGAAAACCGGGGAAGTAAATGTTGAAACACGTACAAGTTTATCACCGGGTTGCAACTCCGTGGGTTCACTTTCAGTGCCTTCTGGACTAAGTCTTTGGTCATTCAAAAAGGTTCCGTTACTTGATTTCAAATCCTTAATCAATAGCCTTCCACCGTCATTCCATATTTCCGCATGGACTCTTGATAGAACCTTGCTATCAAAGTAGCCATTATACTGAGTTGGCACAGTTTTTGGATTAGTCTGTCGCCCTATACGGACTCGAGCCTTGTCCGCAAGATTAATAACTTTTTGATTAAATGTGCTATTTGTTGGTATGAGTACTAATGTTGCAGTATTTGATGTAGGCATAGTTTTCGATTGCGAAACATTCTGAGTAAGTTGTTGAGATTGTCGTTGTTGATGTATTGCTTGGTTTATAGGGCGGTTCGGACGATTTTGTATGCGTCTTTGATTTGAAACTGATGGAGACGGTTTTTGCCAGTCACGGTCGGAGTCGGATAGGGGAGAAGCCATCACGTCTGTCTGTTATAAAAAATATCGATACGTGAAGCTTTAATAATTGTGGCCAATAATTAGTGCATTAAACTACACCATTTCCGCTCCTGAATTGACTATGCTAAATGCTTTCAAACAAAAACACCCAGCTATACTACTGTTTAATTAATATATTCTTTCAAGGGTGGAACGACATAACACAATTGATGTGTTAGCTTTCCATCAGTCGATCTCAAGTATTTGACGGAACTAACAATCGAGAACCGACTATGAATGGTTGACAATTGTCAACTTACCATTAGTAGATAAGTTGTTAACGACGAAGGACCGTTTGGGGAAGAAGTTGTCTAATCTGAATTGTATGCTCGTTCTCCTAGAACGGGAGGGCCTAAAGGGAAGTTATCATGTGATAATTTCTAATAACAAATTGATAAGAATATAAATTTATAGTTGGTAATTACCTTGTACTCGTGACTGTGGCTTAATTAATATTAATTCGTCCCACTTGAACAAAATCAACAACACTATCTGACGATCAGACTTGGGCTTCACATTATCACACTATGATTGTGTGAATGGAGAGATCAACCTTTTTTTAGGGTTGCTCGTTTCCTTAATTACGCACGTTATTTACGAACAACATGGAGAATCGGTTCATAGAAGGTAATCAATTTGTCAATGTTATTGGTACGTTTAGACAGTGCCATCGATTTTTGTTATTATTTTATGATATATATCGGGAATACAGTAACAAGATATTTAGTCTTTTCTCATTTAATGACGACAATGAGATTATGCGTCATTTAAGCGATGATTGTGTGTCAATTAACCAGACGCTGAATAGGTTATTGTTATTGTGCAACAGGTTACTTTGTATATTGCAAAAGTTGAATATAATGGTCAAGGGCAGATTTTTATACGTGACGTCATATCTTCGTCCTCTATCTAAGAAATGTTGCTCAACTTTCCCAGCCATCCATTGATAGCCGTCAAAATAGCGATTACGTAAGCAATAGAAGAAATATTGGTTATTTAAAGTAACGCAAATAGGATAGTTTGACAGTATTGATGAAAGTATAAATACTTCTTTATTTAAAATCTCTGACATTAATATTAATGCGTCACAGAAGAAATGTTCTCGACTCATCTGTACTCACTTTGAATTATAATAAATACAGACAATATTGTCCTGAATTTACCTTTGTTCTTTTTATACATAAATAGTTTTTTTTAAAACATCCGTTCCCTCTTTTAAACATCGCATTTCACGTTGTTGCACTGCAGTACCATATTCGGCGTTGTTAATAAAACTCCAATCAACTTATTAATACGTATGCTTTGCGTTATGCAATTTAACGGGGTGGGGACTACAATACTCACCGATTTTTGATATGACTGAATAACCCGGAGTGCATTTAATTCTTCACGAGCTTTTTAGTAATGCATTTAATAAGAAAGGTTTTTGTATAATTACTAGTAAAGTCACATGACTTGTGTCAGGGGAGTATACCTCACTATAAAAATGCCGCTCGCTTATAAGATATTTAATGTTTAATATATACAGTTTTATTAATAAAGGTTAGGTTCAGACTCAATATTAGTATTTCTCTTTTCACTGCATTTCTTTGTTGAATTTTCATAAAGACTATCCGCATTTCGCTTCGACATTGATAATAAATAATTAAAGTGATAAAGAGAATATTTCCAGATGTTAGGCGACGTCCTTTATTATTATATACCCGGGTACATATCAAGTCAATTATGTTTTAATTATACCCGGAATACTGTATTCAATGGAAAATTTGAAAAAGAATTACAAAAACAGCTTCTTGGAAATAAACGAAGAATGTACACCAACACTTGTCTGCAATATATTTATAAGTTGAAACTTGCCAGAGTTATATTTATGATGACAACTGATCACAGACATGATTTCTATTATCCCTACAATAGACCATACACAGCTTGTATGGGTCACCAGAATGTTTGTCAAGCTTGTGGAGATCTTACCCATATTATTTCAATTTGCAACCAAGATCTTATAACATCAATGTTTCTGTTTGAATCTATTAGTATTTCCATTTCCAACCATTTATCATTCAAATACACTTCATATCTCAAGCCATTTGTTTTACTGCAGAAGCTATAACTGGAAGCCAGAAATGATTCCAATGACACATATGGGGCAGACTGCAACAAAACCAGACAAAGTGAACATTTTATTGTGTGACATAAACGAGAGGCTGATTATGATGTGGCTGTAAAATTGACGATGACGTTTTGAAAAGTAATAACAGTGCTCATTCATAACTTATAGACTTGTTAATTTTAATGCTCCCTTTATTATACCAGAATGTGATGAATATAAACCATAACAGGATTAATATATGACTACCTCTATATAAAAAATATAAATATGAAACACATTTACATTAAATCCCCAAAGAATGACAGTGTCCCCGGTTTTCTTTGCAAAGTGGCTGCGTCCCCTCACCGTGACAATAGGGCCCTGTAGTGTCGATGCTTAGTGATGAGGCCACCGACTTAGCCAACTT